TAACATAACAGTTGTATGTTTCTTTCTTTTTTTTAAGTGCCAAACACCTTTATTCAACCAATGATTAAATATGGCCACACAGCGATAAAACCAGAGAACACATAAGTATAGTCCCTTGGCCAAATTTTTGTGTTTTTTTGTTGTTGTTTGTTACAGGTGTTTCTTCTTTTTTTACCCCATTGGCACCCCCATTTCCACCCCACACCCGCCCGGTCCCCGGCTTTGTTGTCCATCTCTATTGGTTATGAATACATGCATATAAGTTCTGTGGTTTATCTCTTCCCACCCTCTCACCCCCTCTTCTGACAGATGTCAGTCTGTGCCCTACTTCCATGTTTCAGGGTCTACTGTATTCCTCAGACTGTTATGTTCATTATATTCCATATATAAGTGAGATCATGTGGTATTTGTCTTTTTCTGCTTGGCTTATTTCACTTAGGATAATACTTTCCAGGTCCCTCCATGTCGTCTCAAAGGATCAGAGATCTTTCTTTCTTACAGCTTCATAGTACTCCATTGTGTATATATACCACTGCTTTTTTTTTAAATAAATTTTTTATTTATTTTTTTGTTACAGATATTTTGCCTTTTTTACCCCATTGGCACCCCCCTTTCGACTGTTTTGGCTACAGTCGCTTTGTAGTATAACCTGATATCTTATACCACTGCTTTTTTATTCATTCTTCTACGATGGACACTTGGGCTGTTTCCAGATCTTAGCTATTGTAAATAGTGCTGCTATGAACATGGGGGTACATGTATTCTTTCTGATTGGTGTTTCAGGCTTCTTAGGGTATATTCCTAGAAGTGGGATCACTGGGTCAAATGGAAGTTCAGTTTTTAATTTTTTGAAATAACAACATATTGTTTTTCACAGTGGCTGCACCAGTCTGCATTCCCACCAGCAGTGTATTATTGTCTCCTTTTCTCCACACCCTCGCCAACACTTGTTGTTTGATGATTTGATGATGGTGGCCATTCTCACAGGTGTGAGGTGATTCTCATAGTTGTTTTACTTTGCATGTCTCTGATGATTAGTGATTTGAGCATTTCTTCATATGTCTTTTGGCCATTTGTATGTCCTGTTTGGAGAGGTGTCTATTCAGCTCCTCTGCCCATTTTTTAATTGGGTTCTTTGTCTTTCTTTTGTGGAGTTGTATGTGCACTCTATATATTGGAAATTAACCCCTTATCTGATATATCATTGGCAATGATGTTCTCCCATACAGTGGGTTGCCTTTCCATTTTCATGATTGTTTCTTTTGCTGTGTAGAAGCTTTTTAGTTTGATGTAGTCCCATGTGTTCATTTTTTCTTTTGTTTCTGTTGCCATAGGTGATGTATCAGTGAAAATTCTGCTGCGTATGATATCCGAAATTTTGATGCCTACATTCTCTTCTAGAATTTTTATAGATTCATGAGTCACATTTAAATCTTTTATCCATTTTGAGTTTATTTTTGTATATGGTGTAAGTTGATGGTTTAGATTCATTTTTTTTTTTTTTTGCATGTAGCTGTCCAATTTTCCCAACACCATTTATTAAAGAGGATGTCTTTACTCCACTGTATGCTCTTGCCAACTTTGTGAAATATTAATTGAGCATATTGCCTTGGGTCCATTTCTGGGTTCTCTGTTCTCTTCCACTTGTCTATATGCCTGTTCTTGTGCCAGTACCACTCTGTTTTGATTACAGTGGCTTTGTAGTATAACCTGATATCTGGTATTGTGATCCCACCTACTTTGTCCTTTTTTTTTCAAAATTGCTGTGGCTAATCAGGGACTTTTTTAGTTCCATATGAACTTTTGAAGTATTTGTTCTAGTTCTGTGAAGTATGTCATTGATATTTAGATGGGGATTGCATTGAATCTATAGATTGCTTTGGGTAGTATGGACATTTTAATGATGTTAATTCTTCCAATCCATGAACAAGATATGTGTTTCCACTTTTTTATGTCTTCCTCTATTTCTTTTTTCAATGTCCTGTAGTTTACTGTAAATAGGTCCTTTACTTCTTTGGTTAAGTTTATTCCTAGGTATCATAATTTTTTTCTGTGATGGTAAATGGGGTTGTTTATTCAGTTTCTTTTTCTTTGAGTTTATCATTGGTGTATACGAATGCCATCAATTTCTTGACGTTAATTTTGTATCCTGCTATTTTGCCAAATGCATTTATTAAGTCTAGTAGATTTTTGATGGCGTCTTTAGGGTTTTCTATGTATAATATGTCATCTGCAAATAATGACAGTTTCACTTCCTCCTTTCCAATTTGGATCCCTTTTATTTTTTCTTCCTGTCTGATTGCTGTGGCTAAGATTTCCAGTACTATGTTAAATAAGAGTGGCAAAAGTGGACATCCCTGTCTTGTTCCTGTCCTTAAAGGAAATGTTTTTAGTTTCTGCCCATTGAGTATGATGTTGGCTGTAGGTCTTCCATATATGGCCTTTATTATGTCGAGATATGATCCCTCTATTCCCACATTGCTGAGCATTTTTATCAGAAATGGATGCTGGATTTGGTCAAATGCTTTTTCAGCATCTATTGATATGATCATGTGGTTTCTATTCTTCATTTTGTTTATGTGGTGTATCACATTTATTGATTTGTGAATATTGTACCAGCCTTGCATCCCTGGGATGAATCCCACTTGGTCATGGTGAATAATTTTTTTGATGTATTGCTGGATCTGATTTGCTAGTATTTTGTTCAGGATTTTGGCGTCTATGTTCATTAGAAATATTGGCCTCTAGTTTTCTTTCTTTGTGTTGTCTTTTTCTGTTTTTTTTTATTAGAATTATGCTGCCATCATAGAATGAGTTTGGAAGTCTTCCTTCTTCTTGAGTTTTTTGAAATAGTTTGAGGAGAATGGATGTTAATTCTTTATTGAATGTTCGGTAAAACTCCCCCGTGAAGCCATCTGGGCCTGGGCTCTTGTTTGGTGGGAGAGTCTTGATTACCTCTTCAATTTCCTTAGTTGTTATTGGTCTGTTCAAGTTTTCTATCTCTTCCTGGTCCAGTTTTGGGAGACTGCATGTTTCTAGAAATTCGTCCATTTTGTTTAGATTGTTGAATTTTTTGTCCTATAGTTGTTCAAAGTAGCTGTTAATGATCTTTTTTATTTCTGTGGTGTCGGTTGTTACTTCTCCTCTTTCCATTGTGATTTTGTGTATTTGGGTTCTCTCTCTTTGTTTCTTGGTGAGTCTAGCTAAGTGTCCATCATTCTTGTTTATGGTTTTGAAAAACCAGCTCTTTGTTTCATTGATCCTTTGAATTGTTTTTTTTTTGGTCTCTTTGTCATTTATTTCTGCTCTGATCTTTACTATTTCCTTCCTTCTACTTGCTCTGGGGTTTTGTTTTTATTTGCTTTCTAATTCTTTAAGTTGTGAGGTTAGACAGTCAATTAGAAATTTTTCTTGTTTTTTGAGGTAGGCCTGTATTGCTATGAACTTCCCTCTCAGAACTGCTTTCGCTGCATCCCATAGATTCTTTGTTGTTGTGTGTTCATTTTCATTGGTTTCCAGGAAGTTTTTAATTTCTTCCTTGATATCCTCGGTAACCCATTCATTGTTTAAAAACATGCTATTTAGCTTCCATGTGTTGAAATGTCTTTGCATGTTCTTGTTGCAATTGATTTCTAGTTCCATTCTATTGTGATTTGACAAGATGCTTGATATGATTTCAATCTTCTTTAACTTGTAGAGATTTAGTTTTTGTGGTATTATGTGGTCTATCTTTGAGAATGTTCCATGTGCACTTGAGAAGAATGTGAATTCTGTAGTTTTGGGGTGTAATTCTCTGTAGATATCTATTAAATTCATTTGGTCTAGTTCTTCATTTAGAGTCTCTGTTTCCTTTCTAATTTTTTGTCTAGAGGATCTATCCAGTTGTGTCAACGGGATATGTTTCTTTTTTAGATGTAGGCATTTGCATCTATCATTTTCCCTCTGAACACTGCTTTCACTGAATCCCATTAATTTTGGTATATTTTCTTTTCTTTTCATTAATCTCCACTTATGTTTTAATTTCCCTTGTGATTTTTTTTTTGACTCAGTGATTATTCAGTAGTGTTACTTAATTTTCACATATTTGTATATCTTTTAGATTTTCCTCTATTATTGATTTCCATTTTCATTCCATTGTGGTCAGAAGACATATTTAGTGTGATTTCAATCTTCATAAATTTATTGATTTTTTTGTTGGCCTAAATATTGTCTATCTTGTAGAATCTTCACTGTGCACTTGAAAATATGTAGTGTGCTGTTTAGGTTTGACTGTTCTGTAAATGTTTATTAGGTCTATTTGGTTTATAGTATTTTTCAAGTCTTGTATTTCCTTATTGATCTTCTTTCAAGTCTTTCTATCAATTATGGAAAATGGAATATTGAAATTTCCAACTTACACGATAGAACTGCCTCTATCTTCTCTCAATTCTATTTTTGGTATATATTTTTAACTGTTTTTAGGTGCATATATATAAAGTGTATATGTATTTATAATTGATATATCTTGATGTGTTGACCTTTTTAACATTATATAATATTCTTCTTTATCTCAACAATTTTTGACTGAAAATCTACTTTATCTGATATTTCGAGAGCTACTTCAGTTGTCAGTTGATTACTGTTTGCATGGAATAGCTCCATTTCCTGTCATTCTCAGGTGATGGATGAAGGAAGGTCATTCCCAGGAGACCTTGCAGCATTACTCATAACTCGTTGCTGCGACATGTCATGCAGTCGCCTGGTTCAAGTTGGTGTGCGGCAGTTGGCTTCAGTTTTTGTGAGGAAAATGAGGGCGGTTGGCTTTGGTTTTGTGAGGAAAACAAAAGCATGAGGTAGGAAAGAGGCTGAGGAGGAGACTGAGGACTGGGCTAGGACCAACTAAGACTGAACAGGGAGGTGAGGGGTGCACATATTGGCGGCTGCAGCCTTTACCCATGGTGGCGGTGTCAGCATCATGGGTGGCCACAGCAGCCACTTCCCCTGTGAGGCGGTTGGTTGGCATGGAGATGAATTTTAGGGACTTCACCAGCCAGTTCCACCACAAGTAGGTGATCAACTTCATCAACAATGAGGTCCTCATGAATGGGGGCAGCCTGACTTCTACACGACCTTCTGCTGACAGTCCTGGAACAACATAGAGGACCAGCTTCAGTCTGTCCTGTCCGATCCTATGGGGCTGCACAACCGCAAGAAGGCCTGCTCATGGAGGTGCGAGGCAGCGCAAGTAGCAGGTTTCCCAGGTCCAGCAGCTGCAGGAGCAGGTGGAGGAGCTCAGGGGACCGCCTGGGGTCTAGTTCCTGAGCTACAATGGCTGTGCAAGGAGCTTGAGGAGATGACCTTGCAGCTGCACTTCACACGGGCCGCCTTGCTACAGGTGCTGAACAAGCATGATGTGCTTCATGGGTGGCTGCTGTTGGTTGCAGAGTCAGTCCAGGTTACCCTGCTAACCCATGAAATAGTGCCTGGCCCTCAACCCAAGAAGCTGGTGGCCACAGCATGGCCCCTGAATAAGAGCTGCAGAAAATGTGGAGGCCATGGTGATGACTAGCAGTTCTTGGGCCCAGGACATGTAACCGCCTCTGCCAATGCCAGTGCCATACTAATTTCTATTTCACCAACCATTCCCAATGGAATTCCCATTCTTGCCATCAGCAGTATTCATGGAAGCAGAAGTGGCAGAAATCCCACCTAAGAATTCTCCTCCAGCCATCTACACCCCTGGCCCGTGGGCTAGAGTGGGGTCCCAGGGGAAGATGGCCCCACTGTGGAACCAGAGGAGCCCTGGCCAAGAGGAAGATCCTGAGATCCTTCAGGATACAGTCCTCTTAGGGGACATCAGAAGCCTTAGTCAGGAACAAGATCAAGAGAGACCCCAGGGCATGGTCATCCTGAGTGACAATAAGAATCACAGCCAGGAAGGCAGTGCAGTGCAGCCCCAGGGGATGATCCCTCTTAGAGATAGCCAGAGTCACAGCCAAGAATAACATCTAGAGAAGCCCCAGGGCATGGTTAACATGGGTAACAGCAGGAACAAGAGCCAAAAGGAAGGCCCAGAGCCACCCCAGGATATGGTACCCCTGGGAGCCAGTGGGAGCCATGGCCAAGAAAAAGATTCAAAAAGACCCCAGGGGATGGATCCTCTGGGCAAGGAGGGCAAAAGCCACTGCCAGGAAGAAGATCTAGCGAAGCCCCAGGTGAATGTTTCCCTGGGGGACAGCAGGAGTCAGAGAGCCAGGAAGGAGATCCACAGAAGCACCAGGAGACATCCCTGGGGGGGGGGGGGGCAGTAGCAACATTAACATGAGAGAAAATCCAAAGAAACAGCAGCTTTAGGGGCAGAAGGCCAAATAACCAAAAGGTATAGAGCCTTAGAATCCCAGCACCAGGAGATTCCTGCGTCATACTACAGTCTAGAGAATTAAGACTGCCCATGGTGTAAAGCAATGAATTTTTCAGAGTCCAGGTTTTGCTATAGATGCAGGAAATTCTGTATGGCATTTGAGAGTGGAGAACTGGACCCAGGACAAACTCATTTCAGGAAGGTAAGTAAGAATGTAAACACTCTAAAGAAAAACCAATTTCCTAAGACCTCCTTGTGATAAAAAAGTAACTCATTTACTTCACAGAAAATTTGAAACAAAATTTATCATAAAAAATTTTTTAAAAATAATCCATTATTTTATTATTCAAACTAACAGCTTTTTGTCATGGTGAGTACACACATGCAAACATATGTATTTATATTATTTTTTTTCCTCTTTAACTTAAATTTATTTGGGGTAACATTGGTTAGTAATATTTTTTCAAAATTAATTTGAACAAAGAGAGACTACTTTTGAGTATCATCACACTTACTCTTTAAATAGGGGATTTTTAGCCTGGCCAGTGTGGCTCAGTGGTTGGGCATCGACCATGCACCAAGACGTCCCTGGTTCTATTCCTGGTCAGGGCACATGCCCAGGTTGTTGGCTGGATCCCCAGTGGGGAGTGTGCAGGGGGCAGCCAATTGATGTTCTCTCTCATTGATGTTTCTATCTCTCTCTCCCTTCCTCTCTCTCTAAAATCAATAAAGAAAAAAAAATTGGGACTTTCTCTTAATTGCATTTAAGTTTGCAGGTGGTAAATTCTGTATGGCTGATGCTGATTGGTTGACACCGTGGAGATGCTGAAGTCATGAAGCCTTTTTTTCTCCTTTTCCACTCCTTTCTATTCTCTTTAACCTTCTTTTCCTGAAAATGCCATGTGTTTGGCTGGGAATAGCCATGTATTTTTTACAGTTATACACTATATTGAATTTTAGGAGCACTGCTTTTCCTTGAAAATGCTATTGTTCCTTTGTAAACTCCTGTAGTGTTTATGTTTCTTTCTTGTTTTTGTTCAGGTGTTATAAGCGAGGGCCTGTTTTTGTGTTTCTGAGCCTCATGGAATTTGCTTATTGCTGAAGAATCTGAATCTGTCCCATTAGAAGATCTTCCTAAAGCTTAAAGAAATCACACCAACCAAGAAGAGTGAGAAGTCAGGGAAGAAGAGATGCTTTGGCGTTCATCATGGGGCAAAAAGGGGACAAAATAATTTTGTTATAATTTTATTTCTGTGTTTGGACAAGGCATTAATTCATAAGATTGCAGTGTTAAATTCCACAGATGAAAAATTTTACAAATTTCATGAAATTAATTAAACAAAGTTATTCTCTATTATGTGTTTGGAATTAGACTTATATGTTTACTATCTGGTACACACATTATAACCTTATTTAGTGAGTTTGGTTGGATTACAGGAGAAAGCATAATTTGAGATACAAAATAGATCAGAGTTGACTTCTTTGCCTTGCATGTAGTGTGACCCTTGGGTAAACCCAATTGAAATAACATCCAGATATTTGTGCAGTTTTGAAAGCAACATCAAATACACTTTCATGAAAGGACTTAAGTAAGATAACTGCTCATCTCATTGGTCCCAGGTGAGACAAATAAGCAGTGGCAAATATTGAAAAAGTGGCCTTGCTATTGGCGAGGTGCTCTCTGTGACCTCACCTGTTGCCAGTGGATGCGGGCTTCTTCAGGTGCCACTGGAATAAGAATTTCCAGGAGAAAATGGAGACTGGAGACCGAAAAATGGCGGCGGAGTGAACGGAGCTACACAGACCGTCTCCCAGAACCAAACTGGAATTACAACTATAACACAGACAAATCAACAGGAAAAAGCAACAGAAAAGCAGCTTGCGAGGACCATACAACGAGGGACACTGACTCCATCCCGGTAGGCTTGCGAAGGCGCGAGTCGGGGCTGGGAGCGCACGGTCGGCAGCTCGGCAGCGGCCTCAGCTGTAAGCGGCGCCCTCGGGTCACACTCCCAGGCGGCTCCACAGCGCAGCCGGGACAGAGGCTGAAACAGCCACAGCCACTCACCTTGGGCTCCAGCGGAGGGAGGGCGGACTGGACTGGAACTGTGTCGGGACACTCGGGGTTTGGAGGGCGCTCAGAGCTTTGGCTGAGTGCAGCCACTCAGGACGGTGGCCACATTGCTCCTTCCCAGGGCTCTGGGGAGAGGCAGCAGCCCCTTCCTCGGAGATCCAACCCCACCCTGTGGGCCATTGAAGTGCTAATTGAGGCTCACTAACAACCAGCATCTGCCCCACCCTCCTGAAAGCCCCTTGGCTGAGCACCAGAGGGAGTTTTCCAATCAACTGACAACCCAAAACTGATCAATTAACCTAGACTGCTAGCCTCCAGGCAAAAAGCTAGAGGATAACAGTACGTTTCCTGGGCTGGCAACTTTAACCAGGAAAGTAAGACTTGACAGTGGTGTTCAACGCGGGTCCTCCCTCGCTCATCTAAACACAGGAGAGGGAGCCACAAACAGCAGAACACCAACACCCACAGGGAGAACTTGACAGGCTCCAAAGCCCACAGTGATAGCTAAAATGGTGAAACACAGAAACAGAAGCCAAATGAAAGAGCAAGACACCTCCACCGAAGATGAGATCAATGTGGAGCAATTAGGCATGTTAACAGAGCTAGAATTCAGAGCCATGATCTTGAGGAAGCTGAACAGCATGAGTAAGGACATAGAGACACTGAAAATAAGCCAAATGGAAATTAAAAACCAACAAGAAGAGATAAAAAATGACATATCCGAAATGAAAAACACATTGGAAGGTTTAAAAAGCAGAGTAGGGGAAGCTGAGGACCGGATCAGTGAATTAGAAGACAGGGTAGAAAAAATCAACCAATCAGAAAAACAAAAGGAAAAAACGATTAAAAAACAGGAAGACAGCTTAAGAGAACTATGGGACAACTGGAAACGTAATAATATTCGCATCATAGGAGTCCCCGAAGAAGAAGAAAATGAGCAAGGGGTAGAGAATATATTCAAAAAATAGTGAGAGAAAACTTCCCGAATTTGGTGAAGGAAGAAGGCATTCAAGTTCAAGAAGCACAGAGAGTCCCAAGTAAGAAGAACCCAAACAGGCCCACACCAAGACACATAGTAATTAAAATGCCACAAATTAAAGACAAAGAGAGAATCCTAAAAGCAGCAAGAGATAAGCAACAGGTTACCTACAAAGGGAACCCCATAAGGCTCTCAGCTGACTTCTCACAAGAAACACTACAGGCCAGAAGAGAATGGCATGAAGTAATCAAAGTCATGAAAAACAAGAATCTGAATCCAAGACTACTCTACCCAGCAAGGCTATCATTCAAAATAGAAGATCAAATAAAGAGCTTCCCAGACAAAATAAAGCTAAGGGAATACATTAGCACCAAACCAGCACTGCAAGAAATGTTAAAAGGACTGCTGTAATTAACAGTAGAAATGGGAAGAAAAATAGAACCACACTAAACAAAAATGGCAATAAATAAGTACATATCAATAATCACCTTAAACGTAAATGGATTGAATGCTCCCATAAAGAGACACAGAGTAGCTGATTGGATAAGAAAGCATGACTCATCTATATGTTGTTTACAAGAGACCCACCTCTCAACAAAAGAATCACATAGGTTGAAAGTGAAGGGATGGAAAAAAATTTTCCAAGCAAATGGAAAGCAAAAAAAAGCTGGGGTAGCAATTCTCATATCTGATAAAATAGATTTCAAAATGAAGACCATAACTAGAGACAAAGACGGCCACTACATAATATTGAAAGGATCTATCCAACAGGAAGATATAACCCTGATAAACATATATGCACCCAATATAGGAGCACCAAAATATATTAAAAATCTTCTGGAGGACTTCCAAGGAGAAATCGACAACAATACAATCATAGCAGGGGACTTCAACACCCCGTTGACAGCACTGGATAGATCCTCTAGGCAAAAAATTAGCAAGGAAACAGAGACTCTAAATGAAGCACTAGACCAAATGGATTTAATAGATATCTACAGAGAATTACACCCCAAAACTACAGAATACACATTCTTCTCAAGTGCACATGGAACATTCTCAAAGATAGACCACATGATAGGACACAAACTAAATCTCTACAAGTTCAAGAAGATTGAAATCATATCAAGCATCTTCTCAGATCACAATGGCATGAAACAAAATCAATTACAACAAAAATGCAAAACCATTCAACACATGGAGGCTAAATAGCATGTTATTAAACAATGAATGGGTCACCGAGGAGATCAAGGAAGAAATTAAAAACTTCCTGGAAACCAATGAAAATGAACACACAACAACACAAAATCTATGGGATGCAGCGAAAGCAGTTCTGAGAGGGAAGTTCATAGCACTACAGGCCTACCTCAAAAAACAAGAAAAATTTCTAATTGACTGTCTAACCTCACAGCTTAAAGAATTAGAAAGCAAACAAAAAGAAAACCCCAGAGCAAGTAGAAGGAAGGAAATAGTAAAGATCAGAGCAGAAATAAATGACATAGAGACCAAAAAAAACAATTCAAAGGATCAATGAAACAAAGAGCTGGTTTTTCGAAAAGATAAACAAGATAGATGGACCCTTAGCTAGACTCACCAAGAAACAAAGAGAGAGAACCCAAATACACAAAATCAGAAATGAAAGAGGAGAAGTAACAACCAACACCACGGAAATACAAAAGATCGTTAACAACTACTATGAACAACTATATGGCAACAAATTCGACAATCTCAGCAAAATGGACAAATTTCTAGAAACACACAGTCTCCCAAAACTATTCCCGGAAGAGATAGAAAACTTGAACAGACCAATAACAACTAAGGAAATTGAAGAGGTAATCAAGACTCTCCCAGCAAACAAAAGCCCAGGCCCAGATGGTTTCAGAGGGGAGTTTTACCGAACATTCAAAAAAGAACTAACACCCATTCTCCTCAAACTATTTCAAAAAATTCAAGAAGAAGGAAGACTTCCAACCACATTCTATGAGGCCAGCATAATTCTAATTCCAAAACCAGAAAAAGACACTACGAAGAAAGAAAACTACAGGCCAATATCCCTGATGAACACAGACGCCAAAATCCTGAACAAAATACTAGCAAATCGGATCCAGAAATACATCAAAAAAATTATTCACCACGACCAAGTGGGATTCATTCCAGGGATGCAAGGCTGGTACAATATTCGCAAATCAATAAACATGATACACCACATAAACAAAATGAAGAATAAAAACCACATGATCATATCAATAGATGCTGAAAAAGCATTCGACAAAATCCAGCATCCATTTCTAATAAAAACGCTCAGCAATGTAGGAATAGAGGGATCATATCTCAACATAATAAAGGCCATATATGAAAGACCTACAGCCAACATCATACTCAATGGACAGAAACTAAAAACATTTCCATTAAGAACAGGAACAAGACAGGGATGTCCACTTTCGCCACTCTTATTTAACATTGTACTGGAAGTCTTAGCCACAGCAATCAGACATGAAGAAAAAATAAAAGGGATCCAAATTGGAAAGGAGGAAGTGAAACTGTCATTATTTGCAGGTGACATGATATTGTACATAGAAAACCCTAAAGACTCCATCAAAAATCTATTAGACTTAATAAATGAATTTGGCAAAGTAGCAGGATACAAAATTAACATCAAGAAATCGACGGCATTCTTGTACATCAATGATGAACTCACAGAAAGAGAAACTGAAAAAACAATCCCATTTACCATCGCTCCAAAAAAATTACGATACCTAGGAATAAACTTAACCAAAGAAGTAAAGGACCTATTTGCAGAAAACTACAGGTCATTGAAAAAAGAAATAGAGGAAGATATAAAGAAGTGGAAGCACATACCCTGTTCATGGATTGGAAGAATTAACATAATTAAAATGTCCATACTACCCAAAGCAATCTATAGATTCAATGCAATCCCCATCAAAATACCAACGACATATTTCATAGAACTAGAACAAATACTTCAAAAGTTCATATGGA